TTTTTTCTGCCATCTTGGTTCCACTCCCCTGGAAAGGCTTCTTGTAGAAGTTAGGATTTTAGATCTTTGAAGGAAAACAAGGAAGCCGCAAGATGCAGACAAGAGAAAATATTCTGGGCATTTGGGACAGTCAGTGAAGTGACATGGAGTCTGGAAATGGAGTATATTGTGCAAGGAACAGTAAGGATGCTTCCCTCAAAACTTTAGCCCAGGTTAATGAGTACTATGAGAAGTAGCAGTGATATAGTGGATGGACAGATGGCATGGAGATAGGAAGACCTGTGTTCAAGTCCTGTTTCTAGCACATACTAGCCGACACAGGAGAGTCATTTAACCTCTAAGTGCCCTAGGTAACTTTTAAAAACTATAAATGGAAGACAGAGGGTAAACCTACATTTGTAAAGGGAGTTTCCTCACTGGTGAGTTCCCTATACCAATGAAATTATAATCCCTTGTGTCTATCCCTATCCTGTACATTCATGTTGGGAGATAAGAAAGTAGCATGTGCAGAAAAACACTACATAAGGGACAGAGGATGTGATTTCTAATGCCGGATCTGCTATTGATTACCCATGAAGAGGATGGACTAATCCTATACCCCCTTTTATCTCTCAACCTATGATGTTATGATCTTCTATGACTTTGAAGAACTCTCTCTCTCTCTGTGTCTCTCTCTCTCTCTCTCTCTCTCTCTCTCTCTCTCTCTCTCTCTTTGTCTCTCTCTCTCTCTCTCTCTCTCTCTCTCTCTCTCTCCTCTTTGTCTCTCTCTCTCTCTTCTGTCTCTCTCTCTCTCTTTGTCTCTCTCTCTCTCTCTGTCTGTCTCTCTCTCTCTCTCTCCTGTCTCTCTCTCTCTCTCTCTCTCTTCTCTCTCTCTCTCTCTGCTCTCTCTCTCTCTCTCTGTCTCTCTCTCTCTCTCTCTCTGTCTCTCTGTCTCTCTGTCTCTCTCTCTCTCTCTCTCTCTCTCTCTCTCTCTCTCTCTCTCTCTCTCTCTCTCTCTCTCTCGTCTCTCTCTCCCCCTCTCTCCTTCCCTCCTCTCTTTCTGAATTTTGGTTTCCTCGTCTGTAAAATATGGAAGGTGGGTGAGTTAGTCTTTAAGACTCTTCCCATTCTGAGTCCTATAAATTGATCCAAGTACCTGATCTCATATTCAAAACAACTCTTGTTCAACCGCAGAATGGCTTTTGGTGGAACATGAAAGAACATTTGAGTGCAAACCTGCAAGTTGCTTGGGGGCCCACTGGATGCAAATCCAGGTTTCCAAAAGGGTGAATTTCCCTAACCATTTGGAATATATTTGGCTCCCCTTGATTAGAACATCAAACTTCCTGTTGTTGCTGGCTATGAAAAGAGACTGCTACCTTCTACACTAATGTCTCTCATACAAATATCTGAAAGAGCTTTACAAACTAAATGAGAGAAATGATTATTAATAACCAATGATTTGAGGAGATCCCAAGTTCTCTTATTTTTTTTTTCTGAAGTCCTCATTTCAAGGCTTAACCTCTGAAGGACAGGACTGGTAAAAATAGCAGGTAGGATTAACATTCTCCTCAATGTAGGTCTTGCTACCCCACCCAATTTTATAAGGAATTTAATCTGAAGTGGAAACTGCCCCCCCACACATTGTATTCTACTCAGGCTTGGGTAGGGGATGTAGATACTTTGTCTAGATTTCACCAGGTTGGGAGTGACTTGGAAGAATTGCACATCCTCTAGCCTCTCATTAGAATAGGTCTACCTTCCATATTCATTCTCTCATTAATTGTTAGCCAATTAGAGTTGATTACCACTCCTGGGAACACCCACTCTTCCAAAGGCATATGAACTGTAAGCCCACCACCATGAGGGGTCTTTGGCATTCCAAGAGTGTCACTGACACATTTTATTGGCAATAGCTAGCATTATTAACAAAATTATCAATTACCCCAAAATTACATTTCTCAAACTTTTTAAATGGCACATAAAGTTTCTGTGCTGAAAGTCAGACCATATAGACAGACTCATAGGTAGACTGGCACTGAGGGACTTCATCTGCCTCTCAGTCATCTCAAACTGGATGTCCCATAGGTGTCTCAAACTCAACAAGTCCAAAACAGAACTCATTCCCCACTTCCCTCAAGTTCTTCCCTCTTCCAAACTTCCCTATTACTATCAAGAACACCACCATCCTCCCAGTCACCCAGGCTTATAATTCTCAGTTCCATCTTTATCTCTTTGTTCTCATATGTCCAAACTATTGCTAACTCTTATCATTTCTATCACCACCATATTTTTCATATACACCCCCTTCTCTTCACTCACACATCAGCTACCTTAGTTCAAGCCTTCATCACCTCTTAACTAGACTATTACAATATAGTCTTCTAGCCATTCTCCTTAGAGGAGGGGTGACTAAATGGCGCCTTATTTGGGGATAGTTCTGGGTATTTTAGTAGATGAGGAATATAGTATGAGCCAATAAGGTAAGATATGATAGCCAGAAGATGGGAAGTGGTAATCCTAATATTTGCTCTGCTCTGGTGAGAATATATGTGAAATATTTGGTTCAGATCTGGATGTCTCATCTTAGGAAGAACATTGACATACTAAAGATTGTCCAGAAAAAATGATCAGGATGATAAGAGGCCTTAAGACCTCTAAGAGTCTACTGAAGAAACTAGGGATATTCACCATGGGGAGAAAAAAGGAGGAATTAGACAAGGTATCACATTCTAATATCATAACTAATCATATTTTCAGATGTAAAGGACACTCCTATGGAAGAGGTATTAGACCTTTTCTGCTTAGGCTCAGAAGCCAAAACTAACAGCAATGGATAGGAGTATTGGACATGTCAGTCATTCCTCTCCAGACTGCACTCCTCCCAACTCCATCATACCCCAGAAACTTCTTCGTCCTGGAAGCTCAGACCAGCCCTAGAATTCATTCACACATTGGAAGCATTTTCCATGCTGGTGGGCTCTCCTTCTGATCGAATAGTTCCTCCCAGAACCTCCAATTAAGGAGGGTACCAGGCTAGCCATACCTCATTCTTCACCAGGCTGAATTCTGGACTTTCTCTTCTACTATGCCTGTGACAGGTACCTTCTTCTTTTTCCCCTGTCTCCTTCAGCTCCCCTTTCATGTACTGTCTTTCCCTCACTAAAATGTAAGCTCCTTGAAGGCAGGGTATATCTTTCTTTCAGCTTGTATTTATTTTCTCACCATTTAGCAAGGTACCTGGTACATAGTAAGTGCTTAATAAATGCTTCTTGACTGACTGATTAACAGAACTATTTAAACATATGTAAACTCGTTATAAAGAAAATCTATATTTCTAAGAGGTTTAGGTACATGAAAATGGAATGAGCTACCTTAAGACAGCGCATAGAATCATAGATTTTGAGCTAGAATAGACTTTAGAGGCCATTGAATGTGACCTTCTCATTTTACAGATGAGGAAACCAAAGTGCGCAGAACTTAGCGCTCTAGTGATTTGCTCAGGGTCACACAGGTAGTATCTGAAGTGGAATTTGAATAGATATCTTTATGACTTTCTCTACTGACCTATTAAAACATCTCAATGACCACCAGTTGGGAATATTATAGAAGTAGAATTTCTAGGTCAGATCATAGGCTCTGTAGAGCTGAAAGAAACTTTAAATAAAATCTAGTCCAATGCCATTCAAACCTTAAGGAACAATTGCTGGGTCCATGGGGGGTTGAATAATGCTCTCCCTCCCTGTTCTGTGCTCAGACATAGAGTTGGGACTGTTTTCAGAACCAAAGGGCCTGCCTTTAATGAGACAGAGTGCACTCCATGTTCAAACCTTCTTTTTGGCCCTTACATTCCAATCCTAGGGCTATGAGAAGGATTTTACTTATTGTTTAGGCTGTGGCCAAAAAGAGTAGTGAAAAGTTCTTTAACATACAACATCAATCAGACATATCGTTTTTGTTTAGTCCTTTCAGTTGCATCTGACTCTTTGTGACCCCATTTGGGGTTTTCTTGGCAAAGATACTAGAGTGGTTTCCTATTTCTTCCTCCAGCTCTTTTTACCGATGAGAAAACTAAGGCAAACAGGCTTAAGTGACTTGCCTAGGGTCACACAGCTATTAACTGTCTGAGGCCAGGATGAGGAGTCTTCCTGACTTCAGGCTCAGCATTCTACCCACTTCACCATCTAGCTGCCCTGATTTATACATGGGACAGGTAATTTATTCCTATATACACACACACACACACACACACACACACACACACAAATGCTAGATATGAAAGACTCAAAGTACATGTTAACAGAGTAACTTAAATATGATTTAGTAATGCAATTTATAACTAATATTACAATGTGCCAGAAAGATGATGCTTATATCTCATCTGAAATAAAACAATTTGAAGGACTGATAGTTAGGCATTTTGTATTTCACTTTAGCTCTGCATTATCATAAATCTAGAACTGGAAGAAACCACAGAGCTTAATTAATCCAGTGCAGTCATTTCACAGATCAGGAGACCAAAGGTCAAAGAGGATGCTGGTTCGCATAGTCGATAGAGCACTGGACCTTGAATCAAGAAGGCCTGAGTTCAACTCTGCCTCTGCCTCAACTCTTACTAGCTACGTGACCCTGAGCAAGTCACTTAACTTCCATCTGTACCAATTTCCTCAACTGGAAAATGGGGACTGTAATAGTACCTACCTCCCATGCTTGTTATGAGGATCAAATGAAATCACATTTGTAAAACACTTAGCACAGTGCCCAGCATATAGAGGTGCTTAACGAATGTTTGTTTCTGTCCTTTTCTTAAGGAGCATGCCCAATAGTCACAGAGCTAGTAAGCATCAGAGATGGGACTTGAACCAGGGTCCTCTGACTTCAGAGTCAATGCTTTTTCCCTAAGGAGAATGAATGACTTACCCAGGGTGACCAAGCTATTCTTACTGAATGAAATAAAAATTCTTATTGAATGAAAGAATGAAGCCCAGACCTATCCTAACTTATGTCATGCTGCCTTTCAGATCACAGAGAACACACCATAAGAAGACCTGCTTTGCCTCTTTTCAGATTCACTCTTTTCTGGATTTCATCATCACCTCCAGAAACTCATCTTCCTGCAAAATGTAATCAACTCTGAAACTCACATCTCCTCAGTGCTTCCAGCCCCTGGGGCCACTTCCTCTGGTTGGGTCAACAAACAACAACAGTGGAAGGTGGGCATTGAAGAGTTCCTCTCAGATGACTGGGTCTCAGTAGGAATTCAATATGGTCTCCCTTTAGCCTCTCAGCTTTTTTTTTTCCAGTATGTTGTATTTCTCCATTCCATTGTGAGCTCCTTGAGGGCAGGGACTACTCTTTGACCCTCTTTGAATCCCTAGTGGTTAGCACAGTGGTAGGTACTCACATAGTAGGTGCTTAATAAATGTTGATTGACTGATTAACTGTTCAATGTTTTATTCTAGGGAGCAAAATTCATCTTTGGCCCAAGATCACAAGAGCTGAGGAAAGCAGAATTTGAACCTTTTTTTTTCTCCTATTAAAAAAAATAGGAAGTTTGCACATCAGGTTGGTTTTCCAAAACGCATTCAATAAAAATATTTACCAGACTCTTCTGTACGGAAACATACTAACTCTTGCCACCCACAGCACCACACAGAAGTGCTTTCTTGGCCCAGAGAGACAAATGCCTACTTATGTACAATCTGGGCCAGGCTCTTTCCTTTCAGGCCCTCAAACTGGTCCACTTTTGATCAGCTGTGTGTGGGCCGGTGGGATAGGAAGGTCTAAGCTTCACCATCAGGTTGCATTTTCCCCTCCCACCCCAACTAGAGGAGGCCTGGTCTCCACAGGCAGCCAGTGCTACATTCCTGAAACATGGCTCTGATCCCACCTCTCCCCTACAAGGGCACCTTCCATAACTGTCTACTGCTTACAGGATCAAGTCTAGAGTCCTTAGTCTGGCCTTCAAAGGTCAACCAAAATCCACCTCTGACCTTCCAGTCTTAGTTCCCACTATTGACTTTCACATAACTAATTCCCATATTATACTTTTTTTTCCCTCATTCCCAGAACACACCATGTACTTCTCTAAGTTATAATGACTTTCCCCTTACATTTATCTATCCAGTTCCTAACCATCCTGCAAGGTCCAAGTCAAATTATATCCCTTCCAAGTGATTATCCTACTCCTTTTAACACTTCACATGGAGCAGTGAGGTGCTACAGCAGATAGAGCACTGTTCCTGGAGTCAGGAATCAGGAAAACTCATTTTCATGAGTTCAAATCTAGCCTCATATACTTACTAACTGTGTGACCCTGGGCAAGTCATTTACCCCTCTTTGCCTCAATTCCTCATCTGTGAAATGAGCCAGAGAAGGAAATGGCAAACCATCCCAGTATCTTAGCCAAGAAAACACAAAAATGGGGTCACAGAAAGTCAGACGCAACTGAACAAAGCAAATATTTTCACACATTGGTGTGTAGTGTGGTTTCGTGTTCATGTCTTATGTCTTCTATTATCCTGGAAGCTCCATGAGGACAGGGGCCATATCTTATTCACAGAACCCCAGAACCAGTTTGGAAGAAATGTCATCTCATTAAACTGATACCCAAATCATATATCTTCTCTGCAGCATACCTAATAAGTGGTCTTGAAGACTTTCAGTGGATAATTGTTCACTGGGACACCCTATTCCATTTTGAAAAGTTGTCATTATGAAGAATGTCTTCTATGCATTGAGTTGAAATCTTCCTCCCTATAACTGCTACCCCAAGAGGCAACATGATGTGTTAGAAATAGTATTGGCTAAGGAATCAGAGAACCTGAGAAACGAACTCAGGACTGAGAAATGCGTAGCTATCCTTGGGTAATTGGCAGGACAATGGATAGCCCATTAAGCCTAGAGTCAGGAAGACCTGAGCTCAAAACTGGTTTCAAATACTTGTTAGCTATGCGACCCTGGGCAAGTCACTTAACCTGTATTTATTTTCATTTCCTCATCTGTAAAATGGGTATTATAATAATAGCCCCAATCTCCCAGTACTGTTGTGAAAATCAAATGAGATAATAATTATAAAGCCCTTAGCATAGTACCTAGTACATAGTTATATGAAATATATACATATACATACATATATACACACACATATATATAAAGATATAGATATATAGATATGAGAGAGCATATATACATAGCTTATGTACAGTATAGATGCACTATATATATGTGTGTGTATATATATATATATATATATATATATATATATATATATGCATTAGTTACTATTATTTCTACCCATGTGACCTTGTACAATTCACTTGGCTTCCCTAGGCCTCAGTTTAAAGATGAGACTCTTTAAAATGACAGGGTTTTAACAAGATTTTCTCTGGGGTCTCTTCAACGCTATATCTATGATACTATGGTCTGGTTCTGCTTTCTAGAGCCAAGCAGGATAAATCTAATCTTTTTTTTTTCCATTGTAGGTCTTCAGCTATTTCCTCATCATTTTATTAATTTAGCATTAGAAGGGGCCTCTGAAGGCATCTAGGCCAACTCCCTCATTCTAGAGCTAAGGTAACTGAGGCTGCAGGTCACTCAGAAAGTTAGTCAAAGAGCTGGGGCTTGAACTCAGGTCCCCTAACTCTAAACACAATAGTCTTTTTCCACCAAGACACCAATCGTGTCTCCTTTTTTTTTTCTTTCATGTATCCATTTTGACTTTATTGTAGTATGCAGTGTAAGATGTTGGTCCATACCTGGTTTTCTGCCACACTATTTTCTTTTTTAGATTCATTTATTTATTTATTTTTGGTTTTCAACATTCACTTCAACAAGATTTTGAGTTCCAAATTTTCTCCCCATCTAGTCCCTTCGCCAACCCCAAGACAGCAGGCATTCCAAATACCCCTTACCCCAACTGCCCTCCCTTCTATCTCCTCCCCCCTTCTCTTATCCCATTCCTCTTCTATTTTCCTGTAAGGCAGGATAAATTTCTATACCCTATTGCCTGTATGTCTTATTTCCCAGTTGCATATATAAAATGACATTTTAACATTTGTTTTTTAAAACTTTGGGTTCCAAATTTTCTCCCTTCCTCCCTCCCCACCCATCCTCATTGAGAAGGCAAGCAACTCAACACAGGTCATATTTGTGTAGTCATGCAAAACACTTCCACAGTAGTCATGCTATGGAAAACTAAGTATATTTCCCTTCATCCTATCCCGCCTCTCATTTATTCTATTCTCTCTTTTGATCCTGTCCCTCCTCAGAAGTGTTTGCTTCTGATAACCCCCTCCCCAATCTGCCCTCCCCTCTATCACCAACCCCCCCACCCCCCCACCCCCACCCCAGCTCTCTTATCCCCTTCTCCCCTATTTTCCTGTAGGGTAAGATAGATTTCCATAACCAATTGAATATGTACGTTATTCCCTCCTTTAAGCCAAATCCAATGAGAGTAAGATTCATTCATTCCTTCTCACCTTCCCCCATTTACCCTCCACTGTAAAAGCCTTTTCTTGTCTGTTTTATGTGAGATAATTTACCCCCTTCTAACTCTACCTTTCTCCTTCTCCCAGTATAATCCTCTCACCCCTTGATTTTATTCTCCAAATATCACTCCTTCATCTTCAACTCACCCTGTACCCTCTATCTATCTACACATATAATTTTTTCTCCTCCAACTACCCTAATACTGCATGTCTCCCTTCTTAAGTCTTTTCTTCTCTAAGCTAAACCTTCCCATTTTCTTCAACTGACCCTCATGTGATATCATTTCCAGTCTCCTCATCATCTTAATTATTCTTCTACAGATTAAACTACATACAAATCCCTCCTTTATTCATCACTTTCATATCATTCACAAAGGTACTTGGTCAGTGCTTTTTAAAAATTAATCAATCAATCAATTAACTGGCTAAATCCCCATTGGAGGTATCAGTATATAATGGCAAAAGCCAAGAATCTGAAAACAAGCAAGCTTCAAATCCTAGCTCTGCAACTTACTAGTTATGTTATATTGGGCAAGTCCTTTAACCTCAATGGGCCTCTGGAGAATGAAGGTAGAAGACAATCTGTCATTTAAGATTCCTCCCGGCTCTAAATGCTGTGATCTTATTTCTTTGATTTGCTTACTGAATAATCAGGTGGACAACTTTGGCTTAGGAGTTTTTAGGTCTTTCTATCCCTCCCCCTCCCCCATTTGAACAGAAGATTATCACCCATTTAAGTGCTGCAATGCAGTGGTTCACGGAGATTCAGGTACTCTCTCTCTCCATATCTGGTCGCCTTGAAGAGGAAAGGTCCAAATGCACTCAGAGCAAACAGGCAGACATTTCCTAACACGCAGGAAAGTGACCAAACTTTATTTTGGTGCCCCAGGGGACAGGTAAGGAAAAGTCCCAAAATCAATAAGATGTACAGTTAGAAAAGGTATTCTTAGAGTAAAAGAATATAGATAGTCAGAGCTGGAAGATCTCGCCCTCTAATTTTACAGATGGAGAAAGTGAGGCCCAGAAACATGAAGTGATTTATTTGTCCAATATCACAAACAGGTAACAGTGCTAGAATCCTCCATCTAGAGCTGGGAAGATCCTCTGAGGCTATTTAGTTAGGTCAGCTCATTTAATGAGGGCCAGAGATATTAAGTGACTTGCTCATGGCCACACAGAAAGTATCAGAGGTGGGACTCAAACCCTGTTTTCTAATTCCAAATCCAGTGATTTTTTTCCACCAAACACAAAGCTGCTCCATTCCCCTAGCATCAATTTGCTGCTCCTGTCACATGCAAGAAGCAATCCTAAGGTGATGAATAAGGCCCTCAGAATCTATCATTTCACCTTCTAGAATGACATTTGCAAACATCAACGGAGCATGTGAATTAGGTCACTCATGTCTAAGATTTCTATTATTTTTCCACCAAGCATTCACAACTTATTTTTAAAAATGTGATCCTCACCTTGCTCTTCTCGTATGCCACCCCTGAATGAATGACACCTTCACATCCTCAAAACAATGTCTCAATGTTTCCCAGGGCCCCCCATCCTCCCAGCCTCACCTCCAGGGACATCATCCAATGTTTCCTCACTGGCTGAAGAAAGTGAGAACTTGGACACTGGAGTCCTCGAAACTCAAGGTCACTCGAGGCCGTCAGGACTTGGCTTCCACAGGCCCTGAACACCAGGATTGGCCCCAGGACTATCAAAAGAGAACTCCATCGTGTTTTTTCAATAAAAAATTTGTGTGCTTGAGAGCTCTGCTGGAAGGAGGGAACATGTGGGATGGGATTTATAGTTCTGTTTCCAGTTCACCTCCTTTATTTTTTCAGGCTGGCAGAGTCACCAGACACGTTAACACAGGCCAGCACTGACTTCTTTGTCCCAGGCCCCAATTTACCCTTGTAATTGATTTGTTGTTACTCTGAAGGCTGCCTCCCTTCCCCTGTTGCTCTTTCACAAACCTCTCCTCCCCCAAGCTACCTTATGTTTGGGAAGTGTTGAGTGGCAGGGTGTTCCTGAAAGGGGGCCATGGGGTGGTAGCGCTCTGTAGCAGACGATG